GAAATGAACGAAAAGATTAAAACATTAAAAAAGAACACCAAATGAAACTCGTGCGTGTCGATCTTATTTTTAATCAAAAGACTGCCTCGGTATTATTGTGTGAACGATGTCTTGTGTTAATAAAAATCAGAGATTTCGGGAATGATGTCTCTTGTGTTAATCGAATCAGCAAACTTGGTAACGATGTCTTATGTTCATCAGATAGGATAGCTTAGTTATGGTGTATCGTGTTCATCAAAACAGAGAGTTCAAAATTTATACCTTTTCTGTTTTTTCATTAAAGTAAGGAGTTCAGGAACGATACTGTGTTTCTCTGTCAGAGGAGGGAGATCAAGAAAGGTGACTTATTTTCATGAGATCAAAGAAATCGGGAATGATATCTTGTAGTTATCAGATTAGAAAGCTCAGGAATGATGTCTTCTCTGTTTTCCATTGGACCAAAGTCTCCGGGAAGGATATCAGGGAGCTTAAGAACGGTTTCTTGTGTTCATCAGATCAAGGAGCTCGGGGATAATGTTTCGTGTGTTTTTTCATTAGACCAAGGAGCTCAGGAGCGAGGTTTTGTGTGTATTTCGTCATTAGATCAGATAAATTAGGGACAGTGTTTTGTGTGTATCTTTATCACACAAGGAAGATCCAAACGGGACGGTCAAATGATTTTCTTTCTTCAACTTATTTTTTTTTTTTTTCAAAATAAATATGAGATATTTTTAATAGATTAAAACTTATTTCTCATGGCTGATTAAGCTGGAAAAAACTAGTTAGTAACCTTTATTTACTAAATGAAGCTCAACGAAATACCTTTTTTTTTTCTTCTCTTTTTGTAATGTAGTAAGCATTTTGGCAAAACCACGGGAACTCGCATCTATATTTTCTTTTATTAACCAATGACCAAACATTATAACCACCAAGAAAGAAAAGCAACACAAAGAGGAAGGAATAATGATATTAAAAATATAAAAATTTCCCGTGTTGTATCAACAGAGATATTTCAAGAAATTGTACAAAGCAAGAAATACCACATTAAGAGCTTATTCCTGGGAGACCAATATTTTCTCTTGGACTAAAGAGTATCAGCAAAAAATAAAAAAAACGTATCTGTAAGGAAACTGAGATCAACTCCTTTCTTGTTGTAGGCGGTAGCTGAAAAGGAAAGACGCTTTTTGACAATAGGAAAAACCAGATTTTTTTCTTTATGTAAATAGCAGACGCATATTTCGGAAGATTAAATTTCTTTGTTGTTAATCACGTAGTAGTACAATGGTCTATCTGTGTTGCGCCCACCTCAGGGATTGAGTCCCAAATTTTAGCACTACAAGCCCACAACTTTACCGCTGAGTGACAGAAAGGCTCAAAAGTATAAAAGCGATTGTTAATTTTGTTTTTATTTGCTAAAAAAAAGATATAAAGAAAGTTTATAAATCCACTAGGTAGGAGCGGTCTGATATCATTTAGAATAACAAGCACACCCAGTAATCGTACCTTTAAGTGTATGTAAGTAAAATATTTTTTTATTAATGTGAGAAGTAATTTCAAAAATGTGAGGACTTAAAGTTAATTAAAAGGAACAATATATCATTAATTTTATATGTGAATTTTATAAAGGAGTGGCTAAGGTATACGACGCGTATCATATACACTTCCCAGACGCCCGAGTGAACAATAAAATACAGACTTAATTATAAACACGACGTTCGAAGAGATATACCAGTTTCCAGTCCTAAGTGTGGTACAGAATTAAGGAATCTCCTCCCAAATCTCAATATATATCTCTTTTTGTGTTTGGTAATGAACAGATCATCCAACATCATTTTAAGTAACTGGAATATATCTAAATGCAATGTTGGTTATAAATCAAATCTAGTATTTTTTTTATATTATATTGTTAGCTTACAATATCATAGTATTACACTCAGTACTTTAGAAAAACGGAAAGATTACAAACCTCTTCGACAAATAAAACCCTCTATATAGCTGTAGTGTAACTAAGGAAAGGAAAACTAAGCGGTAATCTATGTCAATTTTTTCGACCCCACTTTTCTTTCCCTAACCTTTCCTTTCTCTTCACTCCTAAATACTGTACCTCACGTAATTGCTTCTCTTAAGTCCATTTCCCCCTCTTAGAGCATTACAGCCCACTGTTATTTCAGATCTTCATGATTATATTGAAGTGTGTGTAAACGAGAGTAAGAATATATTTTTACTTCATATACATTTTAAACTAACATTGCATTTTAACCTGCAGCAGCTTTTAAATACGAGTAAAGGAAGGAACGGGATATGTATAAGAAAACGCTGGAAAAATCAGGTTATTCTATTTTTTTTCTCATGTTTATCAATTTCTTCAACATATTTCATGGCTTCAGATATAGTTTTACTGAGAATCTATAACAAAAACATACAAACACCGTTTTTCAACTAAACATAAATAATCTAAATTGAACACACATATATTTTCCAAATGTACAAACATAGAATACAAATACACTCCAGGTATAAATTAACGCCCCCCAGTAGCACAGCGGTATGTCTGCGGACTTACAGCGCTGGAATCCGGGTTTCGATACCCGTGGTGGGCAGAGCACAGATAGCCCATTGTGTAGCTTTGTGGTTAACTTAAAAAACAACAAACAAAACAAACAATGTATAAATTAAGTACATCAATATACTCTCCTTTTTAAATTAAAATAATATTCTAATAATAGTTCTTTATTATCATAGACATAATAAGAGAAAGGGCAATAAAGGAGAGAAAAAGTAGAATAGTATGATAATCCAGTGTTTTCTTATTCGTATCAACTGCTGAATCTTATTGATGTTTTGGTTATATATATATATAGCTAAGAAACCTATTCAGATTTTTCTTTGAGTCAATAATGTAGTATTCAGTTTTATTTTCAAATAAATTGGCGATTAAAATGTCGATTTAAAGTTATTGGATTGGTAAAAATAACATATTTTATAAAATACGAAGGATTACAGTAAAATATAGATAAATATTTCCGAACCTGATTAGAAGTACTTTGTAAAAACTTTTAAATCATAGTTTGAAGTAAAAGTTGTTTTATAGTACTTTCCTGATAATCTACAGCAATAAGCAAACTATCTGATACAAAAATCTTCTACTTGCCATGCACGAGTTTTGTTACAGCTATCGAACAAACTTCTTTCTTTGAAGTGAATACTTAAGGTGAAATCACTAGCATTTTTATACATAAAAAAACGTACAGATCCGTAACAAAGAGGGGGAGAGAAAGGATCTAGGGTTTCATTTCCGAAGGGAAAAAGAAGATCGAAGAACTCGATCATGGAGAAGGAAGAATACGATTCTGGGAAGAGGTTTAGATAAACAGATATTTGGAGTGAAGGAGGCAATGAAAAGTTAAGATTCTGTAAAGAGGATAAGTTAACTAGGGTTTGTATCCTCTTGGAGAGAAGGAGACAGGCTTGATATTAGACAGAAAATGGGGAAATTCTATCAAAGCGCTTTGTCTAACTTCACGTCCGAGAGGCAGTGGTTTGTGAAACAGTTTCATTGTAATTCAAAAAGTATTACTTGTGCTTGGTGTATCTGGTGCTTCTTTCAGTGAATCTTGCATATTTTATTAGCAAACTTTATGGCCCATAATGAAAAATATAAAATATTGTTTAATTACTATTTCAAAGTCCGGATACATTATGAATTTCCATTAGCAACTGACAGTATGAGAACTCTTCAGTTTAAGATATGATATGCAAATTAAAGTATTTATTCAACTTTAGTTGAAACCAGAATCAGTTTCAAGTAAAATATTCCATGATCAGTAATTATTCAGCTTTATATAATTGACACTTGAAATCGTCGGTACTTGAGGAAACTCCATAATTACAGAAATGAGGAAAAACAAAAACAAAGACGATTGTACGTTTCACAGAAATTTCATTAATTCACGACCATGGTTTCGCCAGTACTTGATGATTCCTTGGTCATGAATAAGTGGAGTTTTTGTGAAGCGTAAAATTGTCTTTGTTTTTTTCTTCAGTTCTGTATTCAGCTTTAGTTGGAGTCCGACAGTATCAGAACCATTCACTTCAAAATAGACTCAAATAGTATTTCTTCAGCTTCACTTGGAATATTAAACCACGAAGCCTTAAATCTGTCGGCGCATTTTTGCAGATTAATTTAGCATTAGACAATAGGAAAACTTTTAATGTTAGAATAAAATCTGATAATATTTCTTCAGCTTCACTTAGAATATTACATTATGAAACCTTTAATCTATCAGTGGTTTTCTTCAGGTTGATTTAGCATCAAACAATAGGAAAAACCTATCGGATTGAAACCGAATCTGATGATGAAAATATTTCTTCAGTTTTAGCTAGAATTAGTGTGATAGTCTCCCAGTAATTGTTTTCAAATTCACTTAACAAAAGAACCCTCAAGAACAGATAAGTAACATTCCGATTTAAACAGACTCTGACAGTTTGAATGTTTTTATTTTCCACTAGCAATAGCGTCTAAGAATACGCACATTTCTTCACTTTAAATTTAAATCTGACAGTACGATAACTCATTTCTTCACTTTAAATTTAAATCTGACAGTACGACAACTTTTCATTTTATAATATATCTGTCAATATGCGAATTTATTTCATTTAATTTTGAATCTGGCAGTATAAAGAATTTACTCTTTAAATAGCATTTGACAATATGCACATTTCTTGCATTTTAGTTTGAACTTAACAATATTGGTTCATCGCGTACCTAACGTCGTACCCGTTTTAAAAACAACTCTTAATTGCTGTAAAAGTTGTAAATTGTAATGAAATATTGGTTCATTTAGTTACCTGTTTCGTCACGTGTTTGCTTAAGAAGAAATAATAATCCTTTTATTATTGTTTAAAGATACGAGTGACAACAATGTCAAATGCGCATCGAATTCAAATAATTGATCTGATCGTCAAGTTATAAACGAGAGTTAAAATCAGCTTTAAACCAAACTAAGTAATTGCACACTTACTTGATAAAGCACTGACACTGATCATAAGCATTAGTAGCCATATTTTTGATCCCATGTTTAGTTGCTTTCCCCAAGATTTGAACAAAGAAGCACTCGACCAGGTGGCTGAAGCTTCAGAGAGCTGGAAAAATTGCACGTGATGAAGTTCTTGCTGCTCCTGCAGGAGGTGTAAGAGTAATGAATCCAGAAACCTTGCTGACTCGAGCCGTTCTATGTGGAATGATGGACAGCGCATGCGCAGTACTCATACCCAAAGCATACTCTAATGTTAAATGTATAGCATTTATCATACTTGGTGGACGACACAGAAGGTATGATGTTTTAGGTTGCTGACTGTACTTTGAGATCTAGATCATACCGCTCAGGAATATTAATTTTTATCCACAACTATGCAGAGCTGTACATGCTTATACACTTTAAGAAAATGTCACATTTTGCATTGTCTCAGTAAAGAAAATTGTTTTATTTTAGTATTTCAGAAACACTTGCACTGTATGTTGATCATGACATATGGCAGAATAGTTTTACGTGTTATTGTCAACCAAGCATTTTTTTGAATATTTGTTATTGAATGAAAAAAATAAAAATAAATCAGGTTTTAAAATTTATACAATACAATATGTAAAATAATGTACCAATAGTTAAATAATATGGAAATAACTTATATTTCTATAATATTAGGAGAACGTGTATTTGAATTAATGTTTGAATTTAAATAAAAATTATGGAATAGAAAAGAAGAAAAATAAAAATATTTTACAATAATAAAATATTTTATATTTAAATATATTTTAATCCATTTAATTTATATAAGATTATATTATATTTTATTTTGTGTATTTAAAAATGTACTTAACTCTTATTTATTTCTAGTTAGAAAACGTATTTAAAAGGTTTTTTTTTTAGGTCCTGAGGGATGACCTTTGAAGTAAGAGCTGGTTTTATCCCAAAACTTTGTGGTATCCAGTCAATGTATTTTTTTATTCAGTTTCTAGTGAAACGAATTGTTTGGTGTTCTTTCAAAGTGTCTTTTTTTAAATGACGACATTTTCATGCTAAGGTTTGTCCTTTGTTTGTAAAAAAAAAAATCGCGATTTCTTGTTTGGTGGTGTAGTTGTCGTCGAAATATTTATCGTTGTGTTGAGAATAATATAGATAATATATGAACAGAAATTTGCTATCAAGACTACGTTAGTATCAAGGAAATATAACTTGTTTCAAGGAGTCAATCTTATGGAATTTTAACCAATCACAACATTGTTTCGTATGTGCACTTTGGGCTCACTTTATCTTTTGTTGCTAACACACAAACATAATTATGTTTTTGAATGAATCAAAGATTAAATATTTCGTTAGCTCACCTCATTATTCGGTATTAGGTGGACATATAATGATTTTTGTTGTTTTTACTTGCCTCGTTTTAATCTTTTACGCCCATTATATTCTACTCCCCCCCCCCCGACACAGAAATACTCCTGACTGCATTTGTTACATAGTTCTCTAGCTCCTTTTATATTTAAAGTTTTTAAAAGCTTAATTTAAAATGTACAGTAAAACAGCGACGGGATTTTTTTTATAAACTGGGATAATCCCTTATTTTAAAATTTGGTTTATGCGTTCAGCGTTCACCACCCTGCTGTTCAGTATGGTCGAACTTTTACGTATTCTTGGCATGTTCGCGTGCTAGCCGCAGTGTCACACAAAACTGAAGTAGTACACGAAGATTCATAATAAACATTCCCTGACTTGAACTTCTTATATATTTATTGTTTACAAGATTGTCGGTTAAAATATTTGAACCTTCTGAGAAACGCACTACATACGTTAGGCTTCATCCAAACTTCAGTTGGTATTTCGATCAATAGCTAAGTAGATGTCGTGCAGTGAAACGAGAAAATAAAAACTATACAACAATATATTTTATAAGTGTAGCATTCAGACAAGATGTTCCATCTCTAGACATATTCACGCATTTTAAAGCTAAGTACTTCAGAATTGTTTGAAACAATATTCACTCACGTGTACTAAGAAGTCTCTAAAAAAACGCAGATTATTGAAGTATTTGGCTCCTTTACTTCGAATTCTTCAATCTGAATTTAAATACGGCATACGAACGTCAGTTTTCTTGTTATAAAACTCTAGTAACCCCCCCCCCCAAAAAACCTCAAATTTATCATCTAGAATCGAAGCAACAATAATATATTTAAAGACTTG